TTGCCGGCCCCCAGCAGGCGCCAGGGAGCCACGCTGAGCCCGGCGCTGCGGGATGGCAGCCGGAGCGGACGAGCTGCACCGCTTCCTGGAGAGCTTCGCCACGCAGCTGCTGCGGGTCCGGCCCGACAAGTGGAGCGAGTTTATGGGCAGCGATGAGGCTGCTGACAAGCTGGACACATTCTTCAAGCAGCAGGACGTGGTGGAGCTGGTACTGGGGTTGAACCCTGCCGGGCAGCTCCTGCCATCCAACCAATTCCCAGCTGCCCTCAGGGGCAAGGGCATCTACTTTGTGAAGAAGAAGAAGGAGAACATCACCCGGGAGAACTATCAGAGCGGGCTGCTGGTGGGAGACATCAGCTCCTCACCAGTGGAGCAGCTCATCACTGTGGTAGATGAGGTGGGTTACCCTCACAGTAAGCTAAAATCAATTACTAGAACAAAAATTGCCACGGGTGCCGTCCCTGGCTCTGCAGTGGCTCCAGCTGCTCACCCTGCTGTGCTGGTGGGTGACTGATCTCCACCAGGACACAGAGCTGGGTGAAGGTCACAAGCCCAGCTTTCTCCCTCGCCCCAGCTGGATCACTTCCTCCCTGTGGTTTTAAAACTCAGCATAATTCCCCCCCTCCCTGTGCCCTGCAGCTGGCAAATGCCAGCATGGATTTCCCTCAAACTTCCCATAACTACTCCCACACTGGGGGCTGCCTGCCCAGGGCACCCGAGAGCTGAGTCAGGTCCCGGGAGCTCCTTCAATCCCTGCTCCGCAGTGCCGGGGGCTCCCGCTCTTGCACTTGCTCGTGGCCCCACTGGGTGCCCTTCCTGCACCACTCCCAGCACTTCCCAGCTCAGGAGAGCTGGAAACACACTGCAGGGTAGGGGGACTCCTGGGTGTGCTGAGGAGAAAAACATCAGCCCGGCTCACAACCCGGCCCTCTCCTCCAGGTCATCTCCCCCTTGCTCCTGAGTGAAGAGAATGTGGAGGGCTGGCCCACGGTGGTGGTGGAAGACATCACACAACAAGTACACCAGCTGAAGAATGAGATGTTTGTGATGGGCGGGAAGATGCAGGGGAAGATTCTTCTCCCGTTGCCAGAGCACCTGGACCAGGATATCCCCAGCAGTGTCCTGCACTGGTGGGTGCTGCCAGCACCACTTGGCAGAGCAAAGCCTGGCAGGGGCTTGGGGCAGCACAAGCCCCTCTGGGAGGATTGGGAGCTGGGACATGGGCTCAGTCCCTGGGCATGGCTGTCCCTCAGGAGCAGAGCAGCTTTGAGAGGCTCACAACAGGCTAGCAGAGGTGGCCACAAGAGGGGCACTGGGCTCCCCCTTGGTGGCTCGGGGTCAGTCCTGGTGCTGGAGCATGACCTTCTGCCTTTCAGCTCGTCAGGGCCTGTGGGCAGCTCAGCGCTGCATGACATCGAGACCACCATCATGGAGTGGTCCCACCAGATCAGAGACATCCTGAGCAAGGACTCAGTGCAGCCACTGATGGAGGGGCAGTACCCCCTGCCAAAGACCGAGTTTGAGTTCTGGCATACCAGGACCCTCACCCTGCAGTGCATCAATGACCAGGTACCACCTCAGCCAGCAGGCGCGTGCCCTGGTGCTGAGCCCCAGTGCTGAGTCTGTCACCTCTCCTGCCAGCTGCTCCTGCCCCGAGTGACAGCGCTGGCCAAGGCACTGGAGAAGGCTGACAGCTGCTACTGGCAGGTGCTCCAGAGCACGTTCAGGGATGTCAATGCTGGTAAGGCCCCAAGTGCTGCGGCAGGAGCTGCCTCTTGCTCATCTCTGAAGCTGCACCATCCCTGACACTGAATCTTGCCCCTGGCACAGGCCTGGAGGAAGCCAAAGACATCAGCCTACACCTGCAACCGCTCCAGATCCTGCTGGAAGACATGGAGCAAGTAGATTACTTTGAGGTAAGTTACATGTGGCTGAATACCCATGGTGCTGGTGTGGCCCCAGCCTGGCTCTGCCCGACCCTCATTATGGAGCCGTGGCCTAGCACAGACTCTGCTCCCACAGCTGCAGCCCTACTTGGAGCAGATACTGTGCACCATCCGTCTCCTCCGCACTCACTGCCAGTACTACAGCTCGCCCTCCCATGTCCTCATCATCCTGCAGGAGATCTGCAACCTCCTCATGGACATGGTAGAGCCCTGGGGCTGGCGGGAGCTCCAGCACCATCCCCTCCAGCCACCCTCTCTGTGGGAGCTTTGGAGGGAGGGACACACAGAGCAGTATGGGGTGACAAAGGGACACCTCAGCCAGGGGCAGAGCAGAGCTCCCCATAGGGCTGAAGGGAGTTGGGCAGGGGGGGCTGCAGGCCCCCAGTGAGCCCAAGGGGCCAGAGGGTGGATAGGGCAGGGGTTGCCCCTGCGCTCCCTTCTGCCCACTGCCCCTACCTGGATCTGCCTGTCCTAGACCTGTAACTTCCTGACACCTGAGAATGTGATGAAGGGCCTGCAAGGAGACCTTGACGACACCTTCATGACAATTAGACTGGCCATTTCCACCTTAGAGAAGCTCTTTGAGTCCTACAACACTTACTGCTCCAAC